GTTTCTATTTGTGACTTTTATATCGGCTCCAAAATCAGGAACATTTTGAGCTGCTGGTCCATTTCAACCCCTAAATACATTGCGGACATCTTTGAAGCCCTTCTGAGCCTAACCCTACCTTTGTCAAAAATTTCGTGAGGATCGAACGATAATTGCAATCTGAATATAAATAATAACCCCGACCTGTGTTGTAAAGTGCAAAAATATTACAAAATATACACTTCAATATTATAAGTCAAATTGAAAAAATCGCATGCGATAAAAATTATGAAAAAATAAGAAAATGTCACAAAATACTACAAAATCTATATTAACATCATTATTGATATCTTTTAATGCGATTTTTTTAGATTTTATACTTTTATGCCAAAAGGGCATTCTAATCTTACAAAATTTGTCAAAATCCTCCAGCCATTCTAGAGATATAAGCATTCTAGCTAACATCCCCTTCCTTTGTTTATGTACATTGTATATATTTCGCTATATATATCCGATATTTTTACTATCGGCATCTACGTAACGGTCAGAATTGACCTGTTCGCTTACTTGTGATTTCGCCGGGATTAAAAATATTCGCGATTTAATGGAAAATTTCACTTTTATTTATTACAAATGCTATAGTCTATTTCAACCACTAAATGTTACCCGATGACCATCAAAATTGGAAGGCTTCTGCCCAGTCCAAAGCTCTAGCCTCATGCTAACTTTCGCTTCGATTGGTCTATAATTGTGACCTGTAGAGCAACTGCAAAATCAGGAAATTTTTCAGTTTTTGGTCCATTTCAACCCCTAGATATTATGCGATCATCTCCAAAAGAAATAGGGTTCTATTTTCACATTAACCCCACTTACATTTTAAATTTCGTAAAGATCGGGCCATAATTGCGACCTGTAGAGTGATTATAAATTAACATGAACAGACGGACATACATAGCTAGATCGACTCAGTTTGGCGAGATAGGAAGATCCGTATATACTTTCCTATGTGGGAAATCAATATTTCGTGGTGTTACATAATTTTTGGCCCAATCAAACTTATAATGCCCCCAACACATAGTGTTGTAGGATATAAATTAAATGGAGGTCCCGTTAAATGGGGGCTATACGAGGACAGGTTGACGTCTTCGAAGAAGAAGTGGTTTGTCATAGGCTGCAATTCCCATTGCGGGAGGTACCGTATGGGCTCGAAAACGTGGACCGAAAGGGTACACACGTATACAAAATTTTAGCCCTCTATCTCATACAACAGGACAGACTGACAACGCTAAAACTACTTAAAATTTTACGCTTATCCAGAATGTATATACTTTGTACGAACGGAATTACAAAAGTAATATGATTATGATTTTGGTTCTCTCGAATTTAGGAGACGGAATATCTGCCCTTGGTGAGTTGGGATTCAAGCTTGACATTTGATTTTAGGGAAGCTAAATCACAGGTATTATATTCACCTCCATCTGGGCGTTATCAACGGACACATGAGTTATAATTTTTGAACTGCGAGTCAGACCAATGCTTATTCTACATTCAAAATTTTCATATCGTAGAACATAGAACATGGCTTTCTTTAATCAAATATTCTTCCACTCTGGTAAAATATTCGTCGAATCAAGCCTTGTAAAATAATTTAAAGAATAAGGTTTCAAATTAGGCCAGCTAGTAAGAGTACGAAAACCAACAAGAAATTGTTTCACTTGCCTTTTTCGATTTCCTGTGAATAAACCAAACCATCCTAATGTCATTGTCGTTTAATAGGAGTTTTGATACATTTTTTAAGTAATGACTTCCAAGTTAAACTCTTGTAACCTTTTTCTCTGTGCTAATCTTAGGATTAACACACATACGTACACATGCACGAAACAGATTCATTTATTCGCATCTACGATATTTTCATGTGACGATGGGTCACATACCTACACATATTCATACCGGGGAATATACCATAGTTTCGAATAAACGAATGAATCTTTGCCTAAAGGTGTAGCCACCTTACATTATGATTGTTTGCCTTTTGGTCTATTTTTGCAAACACGCAAAGAAAGGACAAAACATAAATGCCCATCCCATCCATAGCTTGCTGTATACACATGAGTTGAGATTTCAAAATTATAGCCTTTGTATGTCTTATTTTTACAATTTATATGTATTTGTGTGACACCGAATCTTTGCAGTCGTTTGGAAAAAGGGACCATGCTCATGGTTAAGATTAGCCCATAAGTGGAATTAATTTATTGCCCAGCACCGCTGGTCTTAGCTTTGTGTAATTTAGAGGGCTAACAAATTGGAGCAATTGGAGAGTTTTTAATTATATTTGTTGTTGATACGTAGTACAATGTGTATAGTTTTGAATAATAATGTTCAAGAATGTTGTAGATGAACCTTACTTCTAAAGTGGGTATTACATATTTGACATGTTTGTTTACTTCAATTTAATTAAGAAACATGTATAACTTTACCGCAGCACTTTATTTTCAACTATCATCTTAAAATGCTACAGAAATTCTTTTGAATTTATAAAGTCTTAAGCCAATATTCTTTCTATATTTATACCCTAAAACACAATGTGTTGGGGGTATTATAAGTTTGATTGGGCCAGAATTTATGTAACACCTCCAAATATTGGTTTCTCATATAGGAAAGTATATATGGATCTTCCTAGCTCGCCGAGCTGAGTCGATCTAGCTATGTATGTCCGTCTGTCCGTCTGTCCATGCAATTATAGTCCGATCCTTACGAAATTTTGCACGAAGGTGGGGTTAGGGTCAGAATAGAAGCCTATTTCTTTTGGAGATAATCGCCAAATGTTTAGGGGTTGAAATGGGCCAAATACTGAAAAAATGTCGGATTTTGCAGTAGCTATACAGGTCGCAATTATAGGCCAATCGACGCATGTGGCTAGAGTTTAGGGCGGGGAAGACGCCTACTAATTTGGGTGGTCATCGGAAAATATTTAGCGGATAAAATAGACCATATCTTTTGTGTTGAAAAAATTCAAAATTTTTAATTAAACCGCGAATATTTTAAATCCCGGCGAAATCACAAAGCCATGACAAGGTTACTTCTGACCTTCACATTGATGTTAACATCCAACAAAACGGATATATAGCAAAATATGTGCGATATATATGTCTATCAAAGAAGATATGCTTGAAAAATCTCTTATATGTCGAGAACGGCTGAACTGATTTCGACAGTTCTCATTAATTCAGAATGACCTCTTGGCAGGAAAGAAAAAACGTCTAAAAAAATCGCATAAAAATATCTCTCTAAAGATGAAAATATTGATTTTGTAAAATTTTCTCATATTTTTTCAATTTTGTCATATTTTTGGCATATTTTCATTTTGAATTAAACATTAGGTAATATTTCTACAGCTAACAAAACTAAGTAGTTAGGATATCAGGATATCATATACAGATCGAATTTATGGCCCGATCCATACGAAATTTTGCCTGGGGATAAGATGAGGGTCAGAATAGAAGCCTACTCTTTTTGGAGATGATCGCCATATATTTAGGGGTTAAAATGGACCAAAAAACTGAAAAATTGTCTGCAGGTCGTAATTATCGCCCGATCCTCACGCACATTTGAATGGGGGTTACCGGACATTGCAAAAGCCAAGCAGTTTTGGATGGCCATCCAAAAATATTCAATGTGCGAAATAGTTTGCCAACTTTTGTAGACAAAATACGAAAATGTTCATTCCAGTGGCTTCTTGGAGAATTCACAAATACAGGAAAGACGCACTTCTGACTATTTCGTTAACGCTGATTTCGTTGAGGAATATAGTCAAATGTCTGTATCTCAATAATAAATGTTAATCTTTTGCCACTTTTGAGAGATTATAGGTCTTTGGGAAATATTGGTTCCAGATCTAGGAAGACCATTTACGTGCAACGTCTACCAATAAATTGGAAATGAGCAAATTAATTTAAGCTGCTATTATTCGAAAATTTGAGAACGAAACCTGATGGTTTTCTTTTATTATTTGTCACAATATCTTGTGGAATTCTGTCGAGTATTTCGCCTATATAAACTGTATGGTTTATTATAGTGTTGTAGGGTATTCAACGGTCGGCCCGCTCGACTGTAGCCTTTGCTTAATTGTTAGATTATTTTTTAATTTTTTTATAGCATGAGATATTTCCAAATGGACAAAAAATATCATTTTCTTGATTTTGCAGTCGCTCCACAGGTCACAATTAAAAATCAATCGACACGGAATTTTCCTTGTTTACATATATGTATGGGCTCTATCCTGAAAATGTATGTTGGCTACTTTGTTGGCTACCGACTACAAGTCTCTACTTAAAAACTAAAATCGATCAGCCGAGTAAGATTTTTTTTCGAAACTGAACATACAAGTTTCATTAACAATTTCCTTCAAATATTAAATACTACTCAATGCCTTGTCTCAAAATTTATGAGCTGTAGTGATATAGGGGTCGGCCCCTCCGAATTTAGTCCTTTTATTTGATTCTGATGTATATAACATATTGTATCAACTGCAACCATTATTTCAGCCATTATTGATATATCCATCAACATTATGAACAGATCCTTTAGCTCATACACCAATAAAATCGTAACCTTGAACTGACTATGAATAATGCGTTTCAAATCCCTCAAGCAGAAATATTTTGAAATTATTTTACAAGCAGCGAGATTGTAGACTTAATGAAAGATATGTCTTCATTAATATTAAGAACATAGACATAGATAATGAATAAAGTCACTTAATGGCCATGTATTAATTATCAATCAACCCCACAACAACAATTCATAAATAGTAATTATGAATCTTGCCAAGGCAGATTTGAGCTGCTATTCATTTATGAAAATATTAAAGAAAATAGAAGTGATTAACCGCAAATGAATTACACGTTAATTAATTCTTAAGAGAGGTGGGTTATGGAATACTTCCACCACTGCCGCATCATCATCAGCAGAGGTCGAACAAAGTTACAAGGAAGAATACTAAGGAAATTCATTTAAATAACATTGTGTGCTAAAGCAGGAAGGAATCGCTCGGAATGAAGTTGTCCTTGTTGAAAAATAAATCCGAGTTTTTGATTTTCTGGAAACGTTTTCGCTTGGCCCTGGGTGATACATTTCTGGAATATGCCATGCGAACCAAAGTGAGCGGAATTTGGCTATTGAGGCCAACAAAGACCCATGGAGTAACCAAGTAAGAAAAGGGCATTTTAAAAATATAATTTTTAAAAGCAATGCTGTTTTTTGGATTGTTATTTTTTTGCAGATACATATGGTCTTCGGTTTTGCTAAGTCTCTTCAGTTTGGCCGTTTATCTTTCATTGCAATTATGGTTGAAATTCTATTCTTATCCAATTCTAAATACCATTGCCAATGATGTGGCCATTACGGATGTACCATTCCCCGGTGTAACTGTCTGCAGTCCCAAGGTTATAAATGTGGATCGGGTTAAACGTTTTATGAACAAACTGTTAGTACTAACTATATATAAATTAGATTTAAAATCATATTAAAATTCTAAAATTTTTAGCAACATACCGCCCGGATATGATTTGCAAAAAATCGCCGAAGGTTTTGACTATCTCAATGCCTTTACCGATCAAACATGGCTACCAACTAACACCTCATCGTTCAATCAGACTTACCAAATACTTTTGCTCAACAATATTACCACATATGAGGCGGCTGTTGCAGTTAGTGCCGGCTGTGATGATTTCGTCAGACGTTGCTTTTGGGGCAATGAAGAGTTCAATTGTCGCCAAAAGAATGAGTATCTCTCGTTTGTGCCAACCACTTCCTATTTGGGTCCATGTTGTTCATTTAATTTCCATCCTCAAAATGAATCATATGTACCGTTTTCTTCCAACACCTTTGGCATAGATGGTGGCCTGAGTTTCATTGGTGTGGAAGGTTCCGAGCACGACACCTCTACGGGTTTGATAGTATTGGTACATCATCCCATGGATTTTGCCACAGAGGCTGCTTCTTCGGTCACCATAACATCAAATTCGGAAAGTTTTATTGAAATTTCTCCAACGGTGCAGGCCGCTTCGACTGAAGTCATCGAGTTACCAGCTAAAAAACGTGATTGTCTAACGTCGGATGAAGTATCCGGCAATATTTATCGACAGGCGGCATGTGTGCTGCAGTGTGAAAGTGAAACCATCTTAGAGAAGTGCCACTGTAATCCATATCATCTGCCAAAGTTTTCACCAGACGTACGAATGTGTTTGTTAAATGATTCTGAGTGTTATTCGAGAAATTTTGGTGAGTTCAAGCAACGGACATGAGACAAATAAGCGACAAATAATGAACAATTTCTTAACGTTGAGAAGATCCAACAATTTGTAATTTTCTTGGTTATAAAACCCCAAACGGTTCCAATTGAATACTTATATATTTTACATTGGAAAAAATACAATGGTCCAAAAAGGGGTGCCATAATTATACGTTATATGTACTCAATCAAAACAAGTTTGCTCAAGACCCAATGGGGAATATTTCTAATATTGGTCCCATTTAAACCTATTTTTGGACAAGCGATATTGATAACTCACAATGTAGAATTTCTGATGGTTTGGAGGAAAAACTCAAATGTTATTTTATGTTGCAGACAATTTCAAAAGCGTTCGATGTGAAAACTGTTTGCCCAATTGTCATGATGTTACCTACAATACCTTGGCGTATAAAACGGACATTTTGCTGCACAATTATTCGGTGAATCATTTTCAGTACGTAATCTACTATAATTTGAGAATAATTGAGAATAATTGAGAATAAAATACAAATATTTCCTTTTGTAATTTTAGCAAACGTTTAAACTATTCCAAGGATATGTTTATAGTACACCTGTTTTTGTCACGTCAAGTCGTGCCATCGATACACAAAGTCACTGTTATGTCCTGGATTGGTCTATTGTGTAAGCATAGCACAGGAATTAAATAGCATTTATGATTAATTTTTTCTTAAATTAATAATGTGTTCTTTCAGCTGATCTGGGTGGTGTTTTCAATTTATGCTTAGGTCTGAGCATGATTTCTGTTGTGGAATTCGTCTACTATTGTACCTATCGTATAAAAGTCAACTATAAAATGCGAAGTGTTATAATGCAATCATAAATTTGTTTACTTGCAATTATGAATAAATGCATTAAGTGCACAGAGAAAGCCTTCACGCGAAACAAATCTGCACGCATAATTTATTTAATGTTTTTTCAATAAGATGTGTTATTCAGGTGTTAAAAAAAGAAAAAAAAATAAATAAATAAACGTAAATCCATGGCACAATTACAGAATGAAGAACAAAGTTATCCCAAAAAAACCTTTTTTTTATACATCTTCCCAAAAATATAATAATTTGAAATTATTTCAAATTCGCTTGCAAAAAATGCATATTTTCGACGTTAATGGTCAACAAATTTTGGGATAAAACTGCATTGCCCTATATATATATAGTCAAGAGCCGCTGAACGGATCAACAATCCTCCTTGATAGAAGAGGGTTTTATTTTTATACCCTACAACACTATGTGTTGGAGGTATTATAAGTTTGATTGGGCCAAAAATTATGTAACACCACGAAATATTGGTTTCCCACATAGGAAAGGATATATGGATCTTCCTATCTCGCCGAGCTGAGTCGATCTAGATATGTTTGTCCGTCCGTCCGTCTGTCCGTCTGTCCATGTTAATTTGTAATCACTCTACAGGTCGCAATTATGGCCCGATCTTCACGAAATTTAGAACAGAGCTGGGGCTAGGGTCAGAATAGAACCCTATTTAATTTGGAGATGATCGCATAATATTTAGGGGTTGAAATGGACCAAAAACTGAAAAAATCCTGATTTTTCAGTTGCTCTACAGGTCGCAATTATAGACCAATTTAAGCGGAAGTTAGCATGCGGCTAGAGCTTAGGGCTGGCAAAAAGCCTTCCAATTAAAGCGGAAGTTAGCATGGGGCTAGAGCTTAGGGCTGGCAAGAAGCCTTCCAATTTTGATGGTCATCGGGTAATATTTAGTGGGTGAAATAGGCCACAACATTTGTGTTAAATAAAAGTCAAATTTTTCATTAAACCGCGAATATCTTTAATCCCGGCGAAATCACAAATAGACGAACAGGTCAATTCTGACCGATACGTAGATGCCGATAGTAAATATATCGGTTATATATAGCGAAATATATATAAAATGTGTATATACAAAGGAAGGGGATGTTAGTTAGAATGCTTATATCTTAAGAATGGTTGGACCGATTTTGACAAATTTTGTCAATCCTAATGCCCTCTTGACATAAAAGTATAAAATCTTAAAAAATCGCAGAAAAATATGCCAACAATGATGTTAATATAGATTTTTTAATATTTTGCGACATATTTTTTATTTTTTCATATTTTTTATCGCATGCGATTTTTTCAATTTTACTTATAATATTTTGTAATATTTTATCACCTTACAATACAGGTAGGTGATTTTATATAAGTATTGCAAATATCGTCCGATCCTCACGAACATTTTCACAAGGGTAGGGTTGGGCTCAGAAGGGCTAGGCCTATTCTTTTCAAATATGTCCGCAATATATTAGGGGTTGAAATGGACCAACAACTAAAAATTTGCCTGATTTTGCAGCTGTTATAAAAGTCAGAAATATTAACCAAAGGACACGACATCTCGCATAAAGTTAGAGTTTAGAACAGCGGGTACAATAGACCACTAATTTTGTGTGAAATAATACCAGCATTACCTACAGGCGATATCCGAATTACACAAAAGGCGAACTTCTGGCTTTTTTATGCTGATTTCGTTGACGAATATAGCCAAATATCGTCGACAAGCAAATCATATAGATGAGTCTAAATTTGGAGATACAGAGGGGCTTCTTGCTTTTGGAGATGATTGAAAAATATTTCGGGGTTCAAATTAACCAAAAACAGAAATGTTTTCCCGATCACACAATTGAAGCCAATCGACACGCCAGTGAAGAGAGTTAAGGATTATATTTAGCTGTAAAATGGACCACAACAACTAACAGCCCGTCGGAGTGCATAAATATTGGGCAACTGTCCCTAGTCAAAATCCTAATTTCAAAAGTGAAGTCTTCCAATATGGATTTGGACATAAGGGGCTTCTAACATATTGTAGTGTTGTAGGGTATAACATAGTCGGCCCCGCACGACTATAGCCTTTGCTTACTTGTTTAATTTTTTTATAGCATGACATATTTCCAAATAGACAAAAAATATAATTTTCCTGATTTTGCAGTCGCTCCACAGGTCACAATTAAAAATCGATCGACACGGAATTTTCCTTGAGTTTATACTTCACGACAAAAAAGAAGTCTAGCGTTTTGATTGACAATTGGATTATATTTTCCTACTAAATTGACAACAATTATTGTGTCAGCACTACAGACAGCGTAACTATAGGGAAATTTCCCCCGATCCAAAATCAAACGAAATATTTGTGCAGGGCAGAATTGCCTGAACGAAATCTATCAAAATAGATTTGGACGGGGAAGGGGGCTTACCATATATATTATAGTGTTGTAGGGTATGACGTGGGTATATCCTTATGTTGGGTCTATACCAAACAGGTTGGCCTAGAAACCCAAAATCCTTGTGGGATTTTGATCTACTAGTCGAATTTTATCCATTTAAGAGTTTCCCAACCCCCAGATTTGCTGCTGCTCTATGTAATTACTCTCTATTGCGCAATTAAAGTGTTTTGAAGGTTTCGGAAAAAGACTTCGAGGATATTTTGTATAGTCTTCATATTGAAATGCCTCTCTATATTTGTTATTCCATTGATTGCATTATGAGTTCTCATTTGATGGAGTGTTGCTATATTAAAAAGGAGACCTCGATTAGATATTTAATTTCTCAAAAAAAAAAAAATAATAATAATAATAATAATAATAAATAAACTACAAAATAAATAGATATTTTACAAATAATAATCTAAATATAATCCAACAGTCAAAATACTAGTCTTATTCCCTGTCCTTAACCCTCTTCTCACGCAAAATTCCGCGTCGATTGGTTTCAATTGTGTGACAAGGATTTTTTTTATATTTTATTTCATTGTATTTTGCGATCATCTCCAAAAGCAAGAGGCCCATCTGTATCTCCAAATTTAGAATCATCTATATGATTTGCTTGTCTACCATATTCGGCTATATTCGTCAGTAGCATAAAAGAGCCAGAAGTTCACCTTTTGTGTATTTTGGATATCGACTGTAAGTCATTTTCAGGCGTTGTCTATTCTACCCGCTGTCCTAAACTCTAACTTCATGCGAGATTTCGTGTCCTATGCCTTCTATTTGTGGCCTTTATAACGGGTGCAAAACCAGGAACTTTTTTGTTTTTGGTCCATTTCAACCACTAAATTAAATTGCGGACATCTATAAAAGCAATAGACCTAGCCCATCTGAGCCCAACCCTACCCTTTTGAAAACTTTCGTGAGAATCGGACGATAATTGCAATCTGTATATAGATTTTATTGTTTAGTTCCAAGTGGGCATTCTGAATTGACAAAATTTGACAAAAACGGTCCAGCCCTTCTTGAGATATAAGCATTCTAGCTAATATCCCCTTCTTTATATCTACACATTGTATATATATCGCTAAATATATCCAATAATTTTACTATCAGCATCTACATAACGGTCAGAATTTATCTCTCCGTCTATTTATGATTTTTCCGGTATTAAAGATATTCACGGTTAAATGGAAATTTGAGTTTTATTTAACACAAATGTTATGTTCTATTTCACCCACTAAATATTACCCACTGACCATCACATTTATAAGGCTTCTGCCCTGTCCTAATCTCTAGCCCCATGCTAACTTTCGCGGTCTATAATTTCGTTTGGTCTATAATTGCGACCTGTAGATCAACTGCAAAATCAGGAAAATTTTTCAGTTTTTGGTCCATTCCAACCCCATAAATATTATGTGATAATCTATAAAAGCAATAGGGTTCTATTAACCCCACCTCCATTTTCAATTTGGGGAGAATCGGGCCATAATTGCGAGCTGAAAAGTGATTACAAATTAATAAGGACAGACGGACGGACGGACATACATAGCTAGATCGACTCAGCTCGGCGAGCTAGGAAGATCCATATATACTTTCCTATATGGGAAACCAATATTTCGTGGTGTTACATAATTTTTGGCCCAATCAAACTTATAATACTCAGCTCGGCGAGATAGAAAGATCCATATATACTTTCCTATGTGGGAAACCAATATTTCGAAATGTTACAAAATTTTTCGCCCAGTCAAACTTATAATACCCCCAACACATGGTGTTGAAGGGTAAAAAAACTAGTGCACAAAGGCATAAAACTCTGTACCACTGTGTAGTATATAAAATTTAAAATCCCTAAATATAATTTGTTACACCTCCGATATCCGATAACACCGCGCAACACAAAAAATTATTACAAGGAAATCCAGCAGATTACGTTTGAAATTTTATATCGTGAAGTAACCAAAAACCTCTTCGATACTTTTGGAAATTTTTGGGTAAAGATGCCTCGAAATCCGTACATTTTAGGTATATATAGTATAGTGTAGTATATAACAAGTAAGCAAAGGCTATAGTCGTGCGGGACCGACCATGCGATACCCTACAACACTACAATATGTTCGAAGTCCCTTTATATCCAAATCCATTTTGGAAGATTTTGTTTTTGAAATAATGCCAGAGCCCTGCCCAGAGGTTACCCTTAGGTTTTTGACCCGGAGAATTTGGCCAATATTTACGCTCTCCGTAGTGTTGTGAAGTATTCAAAACAATTGCACACGAACGTTGCTAGACTTCTTCTCTGTCCTCAACTCTCTTCCGATGCGAAATTCCGTGTCGATTAGTTTTCAATTGTGACCTATAAAACGACTACAAAATTAGAAAAATTTAAATTGTAAGTCAAATTGAAAAAATCGCATGCGATAAAAAATATAAAAAAAATGAAACAAAAGATATAACTTTTTTATTGGTATATTATCCCGCGATTTTCTTAGATTTTATCCTTTTCTGGCAAGAGACCATTCCGAATTTATGGGAATTGTGAAAATCGGCCCAGCGGTTCCTGATTTATAAGCAGAATAAATAAGATCAATTCTTTTACATATGTATTGTATAAAAGTTAGGGTCTATTTTACCCGTTAATTATTGTCCGATGGCCGCTCAAATTGGTAGGTGTTTGCCCAGTCCCAAAAACTAACTCCATGTAAATTTTCGCGTCGATTGGTTCATAATTGTGGCCTATAGAGGAACTGCAAAATCAGGTAATTATTTTTTTTGGTCCATTTCAACCCCTAAATATCGTGCGTAAATAGGGGATCTGTTCATAATTACGAGCTGTAGCTTGATTACAAATGAACATGGACAGACGGACGGACATACATAGCTAGATCGACTCAGCTCGGTGAGCTAAAAAGACCCATTTATACTTTCCTATGGGGGAAACCAATATTTCGAGGTGTTACATAATTTTTGGGCCAATCAAACTTATAATACCCCCAACACATAGTGTTGTAGGGTATAAAAAGTGAATATTTTTCTCAGTGCCAAAAGCCTACGAACATAGTCTTAGATTTTTTTTCACATGAAAGAAAAGTAATGGTAGAACGAGAACCATTTTCACTCTTAAGAGTTAAGTAATAATACTGGGGAAGACTTATATGTGTTAACGTTGTAAGACTCAAACAACCTGCAATGCTTTCGCAGTTGTGTGGTAATAAGTAACATACTAATAAGACTCGTGATATGTCTCACAAAACACATCCTAATTAAACCACTCTGGCCGGTAATTAAATTAGTTAAGTCATTATTATTCTCAACTTCACATTCTGTAAAAGAGCTAAATTATGACGGATATTTTTAGTTTTAAATCCAAGTTATTTTTAGCTGTTCTCCTTATCTAATTATATGCTGCACATTTTTTCTGCCCACCATTTTCACTTAATTCCAATGACTCGGCTTAATTCATTAGCCGTGTGAACCGCATTAATTTTATCCACACATGTGTTGCGATGGGTTCATCATTTTGCCTGCCTGCCTGGAGGGCCAGAATTTGTATTTATGAGGGTAAATATTAATGCAAACTCACGCACTAAACATAGTAGTTTCTTTTCGTTCTGATATTCCCTGGTGTGTTGCAAACTTTTCTTAGATGCCTGCTTTATTTTCTTTTTTTATGACATGGCAACGAAACTTCCGGATTCTCGATTGCCACTTGATGTCTTTGCTCCTGAATACTATGACAAAATAATACATTATAGACACGTCTTGCATGTCGGTAATTAATTTTGCTGATGGTACCGTCCCAACTGCTCCAGCTACTGCTAGAATAAAGGGAATCAAGAGTGAAAAGTTTTGTTTTTTCATGGGAAGGGTGCCAAAATAAAAACGTCTGCTTGTCATAAACATAGTTATGTATGTATGTGTGTATATTTATGTAAGAATGGAATGGAAGTGTACGTGCCTACCTTTAAGGAACACGCGCCAACATTGTAATGCTCACAAGTCGAAGGAGATAGATGCGTTGGGCCATGGTTACATTCATAGACGACGGAATTATGTGTTGGTCTCCCGATCGACGGCGGTGGAGTATTCATACAGTATGTATATCTGTACTCAAAATATTTGCGAATGAAGTCCCCTTAAAGACATTTGAGAACAGCTCTTAAAAACAATCAAACAATGGCCGAGGAATATGTTTTACCTTCCCTCCACTTCCATTCTAGGCTAATGTTATACCTAGCTATCCTTGTTATTGTTTTGCGAAGCTGTTGCTTGTTTTTGCTCCTTGATTTCTTTTTTTTTTCTTCCTAGCTATACTTTTTTTTAGATTTTTTGTTTACTGTTGTCATTTTTGTTTTCTTCGAGAAAAAAAAATAAAAAAAGAAACAACAAACACCGTCTCTTCATGAAAGACATTTTTATAAGCTGTCAATTTGTTGACACTACAATACATTGACAAAATTTGTTGTTATGTATTTTTTATGTCTGCGGAATATATATTTAAAAGTACAGTTATGAGTGATTTAATGGCAACGAAATATCTAAGGAAACATTTACTATTTGGTGTCTTATGAAATTTTCTTGTGGCCTCCTATTGAGAAGCAATGTTGAGTTGAATTTTTAGTGAATTGTTCCTTCATAAAATGGTGTAATCAATGTTATTCTCCGGTTTAACCCCTATTTCTTTATTTCGGGTAGCTTTTTTAAATTCTATGAAGAACGAATTTCTGACTTCAAAAGATATGGGAAATTAGATTTTTTTCTTCAAAGATTTTTTGAACTTGTGTTATTCTCTTATAAAGAAAATATGTAATTCATTATTTGGTGTAAAAGTAAAATGTATTTGTTAATTGTTAACAGAATTCCTTATCTATCCATAAATGCCTACATTTTTTAATTGAAGTTTAGAAAAATAATTTAAAATTCAAATCCAGACAACGTCGAGAACAAACCAGATCTCGTGTTAGTAGAAATAATGAGATGTGTGAAATATAAAGAGAACCTGATGTTTATTTCGGATTTTATTAACGTTTTGGTTATTCCATACCAGAAGGAATGGCCCGATCTCTACCGTTTTTTATAACAGATCCTGTTGACATAAATATTTAGATGTGCCAAATCGGATATTAATTACGCGTTTTATGAGCTTAATAGATATTCAAAATTTCGACCTCTTGTGGGGGAGGTACCACAAGGAGTGGACTTATATATTCCGTTTTAATACCAGATCTTGGCAAAGACATAGAAGTGTAAAGATAGGACAAGACAGAGTAAAATATGGCAACCCTGTGAAAAATGCCTCTGTTGTTATGATATCGTAACAACATAGTTACCAATGTTAAGCAATTTAAACCGCTAAGGCAGTATGCAATTATTTGGGAAGGTATATGGAATAGAATTTTGAAACCAATATTTTGGATTATCCAAATTTTTATTTGTCATTCTTTCCTATAATTGTGTTTTTATATTAACTTGCCTCTGTCATGAGCTGTTATTCAAGGTAGTATAGCCACAAACCATTTGTTCAGAATGCATTTTGTCTAGTCTTTACCATTTTATGTCTTTGATCTTGGGTTCATAAAAATATTAACATGTGTGAAATTTGAAGACAATCGGACTCTTACATCATCTATATATATAAAAGAAAGTTGTGTTAGTTACTACTCTTATAACTTAAGAACCGCTGGACTGATTTTAACTATTCATATAAGTTCGGGATTGTCTCCTGTCCGAAAAGGATAATATCCAAAAAATAAAATAATATGAAAAAATATTAACATTTTCGAGTTTTGCCTTGTTAAGGCGAAGATCATATGTTTTATGATTTAAGTGTTTGTTTTCTCTTTCGAGACGAGCTTAATGATCTGAAATTTGCAGTGAAAAGGAAAGCCAGATAGACACTATCACACACTCACCACTATGCGACGCGTTTCGCCGTTGGTTAAGCGGCTCATCAGGCATATTTGATGTGGATGATGGCTTACAAGGGCCGTTCTCTGGAAAGTAGTGTATATTTCGAACTTATTGCAAATTAGCATATGCGAATTATACACTAGAAACTCTCCAGGTTCGACTCAAGTTCTATTGGCAGATCTTTTTCACAGCAACGTTTTGTTTTTGTAGTGATGGATTTTTTGTCCACAACAACTACATTGCTTCCAATGCATACACTTGTTTTAGTGCTGCTTTAGGAAGACGGGTTAATGGCTCTGAACGTAGAGACGGCAACTTCTAGTTGGCTGCACACAGAGGTCCGCGGTTCAAATCCCACAGCCAGGCTCGGCTGAATTTTTGAGTTTTGCCTTGTTAAGGCGAAGATCATATGTTTTATGATTTAAGTGTTTCATTTTCACATTTTCATTTTGACTTTTGAAATATACAATAGTAATGTTTTATTTGCATGATTTTTTTCTATATTGACTTACTTTTTTCTAATGTACATTTGTAGTGTTTTTTATATTTTATTTTTGAATTCAAATATTAATACCAATTTATTTAATTGACTTGATTTCTTGAGAACTAAAATTGATGGCGGGAAGTGGAAGTGTATGTGTATTATGTGGTGGAGAAACGGAATAGATCATATCGAAATAATCTAACGCGGTCACACCAAAGTTAAAATATAATTAATTTTTCAAAATCGCTAAAAAATCACGAAAAAGAGACCTCATTGCAAAAACTCTCAAATCGGGAAAAAATCGAAAAAAAAATTCAATGGAATCTAATTTTAAAATAATTGACAAACTTTGTAAGGTTCTTTAAACATTTGCTGTAAAAATCAGCGAACAAGTTAAAGATTTTTTCAATTTGTTATTCTTCTTTTGTCAATTTTTTTTTTTTAATTTAATTTAAAATCATATTAAATTCAGTGGATTTTTGTGAACAAAATAAATAATGAAATAAGTGCGAAATATGATGTTTACTGACATCTGCCTTTCAACTCTAGTGCCGACATCGTGGTTCAGCTGGAAGATGTGAACACATTTTAACAAACAAAAATGACCGAAAAAGCCTAATGGGGCCAATGCGTGGACCTACTTCTTTCATGTGACAATAATCCGTCCAATGAGAGCTCAAAATGCAAAATTCTTTGGGAGTACAATCAGTAAAATACCAAATAGAAAAGGGTGAAAAATAGTAGAGCGAATGGGACTTTTAGTAAGAAAAGGATTTCTATCTTTCCAGAAATTCTTCCCAAACATTCAAGATACCTTAACTAACTTTTGCAGGTCATGATATCGATCATAACTCACGGATAAGGGTACAACCCGATTTCATATTTATATAACCATCGTATGATTTAAGCTATTTTTGGGATCTTGGTCATTTTTTAAATTTTTTGGCCCTTATATTTGTTTCTAAGGGGGTAGAGAACCTCTTCGCATAAAATTTGAAATTTTCAGAGTAGGGCCCATATTGGTCTTGACCACATTCATCAATTGATTTGGTTAAAAAATTGTATTTATGCTACCCTGGGGTAGGGAACCATCATATAGATAATTGCCACATAGGAATTTATTTTTAAGTAAAGTCCCCACTTTGGAGTATCCCCAAGTCCACCTTCACATCTAAAGTGTGGTCAGAAAAGAACATTTTGTATTCTATTGAATTTGTAACCCCTAAGAGAACATTGGATGGGAACGTAGATTTGGGATGTACATCTATATGAAATAAATTATGAAAACATGAACAAATTACAAATATAAGAAAGTAGCACGGGACCGAATATTTGTTGAATCGTCATTGAATTATACTATGATGAAAAATATGAACTTTATGGGGTCTCCAATTTACAATTTAAATGGCAAATAAAATTAATTCCCATCTTATGGTAATGCGTGTAAAATAATATTGATTCTGAAATCATTCTGCCCTCAATTATGAGGTGGATAAAACTATTTTTACTTATTTAAATCACGCGAATTTTTTTTCAGTTCGACATGCTATGTTGTTCTGCTATATTTTTAATTTGCCCTCTATTTGTCATCTTGGGTTAGAAGAAAGTTTTCAATGTAGGTCGATGTTTTCGAGTAGTGCCCATATAAAGGTACCTCCTGATTTTAAAGGATTTGGCTCAACATATCTACAAATTTTAGAATTTTATCCATGTAATAGTACCCCCTCAAGTCCACCTTTTGGCGGACAAACAGGCCGACATGGTTAGGGGGACTTATGAGGACTCTAATGCATTATCTGAGGTGCTAATTGCTTTAAAAAAGTAATTAACTTTGGCTATTCTTAAATCATTATGAGGTGTACAAAGTACAGTAAATTCCATATTACTGCTCATTTGACTGGAAAATTTTGCTACGATTTTTACCATACTAAAAATTAATTTGATCCCTTACATGGGGATATGATTGATACATACCTTTTAATGGATTTTTATAGCACATTCACACATTTGAAGTCCACGGTTTAAATATTGAAGCCCACGGCTTAAATATGGGCTCAGGTATTTTAAAACACTTTTAATCGACCAGTACGTGAACACTTGTATCAGTCATATCTGTGAATAATTATGCTTTGACAAATATGCATAATAGACAAAACCATCGGGCCGGCAAAGCGGACCGGGCCAGCTAGTATTTTATACTAGTTACAATTATTTAAAATGTTTACCCTTTGTGGGGGAGGTACTTGATAGAGTGGACACATATTGTCCATTTTCGCACCTGACCTAGCATTGACGCAAATATTAGGATTTTCAAAGTTGGGACAAATTCGGATTATCGTTTCTCTTTCTGTGCAGAAAATATATTTTTTTGAAAATTTCTTAACACCAGACCTTGGGTAAATAAAAATATTGGGATGTATGAAATTTTACGACAATCGGATAAAAGTTGTAATTATTCAAAATTTTGGCTGTTTGTGGGGTAAGTACTTGATGGAGTGAACCGATATTGTCCATTTTTGTACCTGACCGAGAACTGATGCAAATATTAGGATTTTCAAAGTTGAGGCAAAATCGGATTATTGTTTCTCTTCCTATATATATATATATTTTTTTTTTTTGAAAATGTCGATCTTTTGTGGGGAGGTACTAAAAATAGTACCGAACTCGATCTAAGTTAGAAAAAAATATTACGATGTACCAAGTTCGGACCAAATCGGATACTCCTTTCGAGAATTATCGTTCGCACCAGCAAGCCAGGCAGACGGACATCGCTAGATCGACTCCAAATGTCCTGAAACGGATTTGACCTAGGGTCCAAAACCGTTATTTCGACTTGACACGTATTGACAATATCAAATGATATATACCCGCTCTAGCCGTATGGCTGAGGATGTAAAAACATATTTTCTGTGACAGTGACTGTTTCG